GTTGTCTCTGTCAGGTCCTTCTGTCGATCTGAGCACCCTTCCCCTTCCTCTTCTTCTCCTTCGTCGGCTGAGCAGCTGGTAGGGCTGGTGGAGCTGTGAATGGCTGAACTGGGGCGGATGGCTGAGAACGATCACGGACAGCCTCCCTCCTAATGCTGGCGTCCACCTCCTGGGCGATAGAAAATGCACGAGCGTAGGTCTGAGTCCCGTGACCTACAATGTTATGACGGACTGCTGGGTAAAGCCCGTCGATGAAGCGCTGTGCTCTCTGTGCCTCTGTGCAAACCAGGTCCGGAACAAAAGCTGCAAGTCTAGTAAACTCTCTCTCGTACTCATCAACATTACGAGTACCCTGCTGGAGCGATAAGAACTGACGCTCCATCTCTGCTCGGTAATAGGTGGGGTAGTACTTCTCGCGGATTAGCTCCTTGAGCATATCCCACGTACATCCCGCCTTCTCGCGGGGACGCATGCTCCAGTAGGCATTCCACCAGAGTCGGGCATCACCGGTTAGCTGAAGCTCAGCGCAGATTACACGATATCTATCAGGACAATCCATGACCTCGAAGATAAACTCCAGGCCCAGAAACCACTCGTCCACGATACGGGGATCTCCCTGCCCTGAGAATTTTTCAGCATGATAGTCGCGAAACTGTACGACTATTGTGGCCTGAGTAGGAGCTGGGTGATCGGATTTCCTACGGGGCGGCATCTGAACATCGAGAAAGTTCAACATTATTGAACACGTGATAATATTCTGACTTATTACTAAGGCACACAAATCTCTTGACGAGTTGCCAAAAATGGCCGATAAATACTGACTTGAATCCTGAGGAACTCTAGAGTCATATCGAAAGATACTAAATTCTAGAGTCATGAATATACTGAATTCTAGAGTCATATCTGAACTCTAAGTCTGAATCTAATTCGAGCATCTTAACTAAGTCCTGATTCATAATTTCTGAGCATAGACAAAGTAATATGTTTATAACTGAAAACATAAATCAGCACTTACCTGTAGTCGGTGGGGCATGAGCGTGACGGTTCAGGTTTTTCTGAATATTACTGACTGAAAAACTTTTCAGAGACGCAGAAACGTGCTCTGATACCAATTGTAACACCCCGCCTTATCATAAAATAAGAGTGCGTAAATTTCGCAAAGTTATTTAAAAATCAAATCATTTAATTTGCAAAAACTGATTCGGGGTGCTACCGTAAAACGTGACTTATTTTGAAAAACCGTTATTATAATTTTTTGCAAAATCTACGGTTTACTGAAAGAATAATTTTTTCCGAAAGTTTGACCAAAAGATAAGTTCGTCAAACATCAACGTCAGCGGAAACGTAGTATCGTCAAAATATATATACAGTCATAACATAAAAGTCCTGAAACATCCGTCATCTCACGCTCCCGGCCCGACATCCTGACCTGAAAAACATGATAAAAGTGGGTCGTGAGCACTATACACTGTGCTCCGTGGAAACTCATACTAATGTAAACATTGAAAATAATAACAACATCATGATCCTGGTATATACATAACCTGAACATGAAATCGGTAATAACATGAACATGAATCTGATATCATCACGTGAACGTGAACCATGACCGTTACCTCATCTGCCGGCACAAACTAATGTCGGACACCATGTGCACACTCTAGTGGGCAGACTAGGGCCACTAGAACCCAGAATGGACCGGCGACCATTCCGAGCGGATACATGACATGAAATACATACCTCAAACATGGTACCGTAATTATAATCAATGTAGTACTTAGTCTGAGTCCCCACCTGATCAGTGAAAATAAAGGTAGTGCTGATGCTCGTGACCTGATCAAACTGAAATATAATATAAACAATTACTAATGACTATGCTCAGACTGTTAACTTAAGTGATTAATTATGTTAAGATGCTCTACTGAACCTGACATGATATTTGGACTTAACCGGAATAACCGGAACGTATCTTGACATGAACTGAACATGAACTTACCGAACTGAACTGAACCCGGAATTTTAACTAAAACTGACACTGAAATCATGAACCGGGCTGAAACCATAAAGTACGGACTGAATCGGTCCAGCCTATCTGAACAGGTCTGAACCAGACTGCCGGTCGGCTGAACCGGGCAGTCGGGTGCTGGCTCGGCCAGCAGCCTGCCGAGTGCTGCGCACGTGGGCGCTGCCTGGCAGCTGCGGGCACGGACTAGTGGACTGGCTGGCT